AAGGCGCCAAACGGTGTCGTCGGTGCCGTGGAGCCGCAGGCCGCGGGCGGCCCGGAGAAGGCGGAGGACGCGGTGCCCGCGTCTGCGCGCGGCACGGGCGTCAAGATGACGCCCGAGCAGGTGCAGGAGGCGAAGGCCGCGCGCGCCGCGGCGACGAAGGCCGCGGAGGAACGCGCAGCCAAGGAGACCGCCGAGGCGGCCGCGCGCCTGCGCAAGCTTGGCGGGCTGCTGGCCGCGTTGGGCGAGCGCACGCGCGTGTTCGAGCTGGGGAGTGCCGCGCGCGCGCGCGCGGAGGCGGCCGTCGAGGGCGCCGTCGCGCTCGCGAAGGACCCCAAGGCCTCGCAGACGGACCGCCTCAAGGCGTCCGGCGCGGGCGCGGCGAAGGCCGTCGTCGCCGCCGTCGCCAAGGGCTGGGAGGAACAAGTCGTGCCAAAGGTCAAGGAGCGCCTGCCGGACGCGTATGCAGACGTCTCCAGCAGGGCCTTCGCCGCTGCCGCGCTCGGCGTGTTCGCCGCCGTCGCGCTGCTGCCGTCGCTGTTCTCCGGCCCAGCCAAGGAAAAGCAGCCCGCAAAGAAGATGCTCGACGCCGATACCGCCGTCTTGGAGAAGAGGCTCCAGAGAGACCGCAGCTCTCCTTCGTCGTACAGCGCCTCGTCTCGTTCGAGTGCTGGGCGCGGCGTCTTCCCGCCAGAGGACAAGACACCCGCTCTCCCAAAAGCCGCCGAAGTATCAAAACCTGCGCCCTTGACTCCGAAGGCTGCAGAGCCAAAGACGCAAAGTTTTGCCGACTCCACCAAACCGGCCGCCCCCTCCACATCCGCTGTCACTCTTCAAAAGCCGCCGGAGAGCTCCACTCCGCCTGTGACGTCTCCCAAGCCACAGACCCAGCCAGAGCCTTTGAAGAAGGTGGATGTGACCCCGCCGCTTGTCCTGTCCACTGTCTCAAAGGCGCTGGGCAGCAATGCGGGCATCGTGTCGTCTGCATCGTTTGACAGCTTATCTGCTGACCCGACGGTGGTCCTTGAAGTGTCAAAGGCCTTCCATCGCTTGCCAGACGCTGAACAGAGAAAGATTGCGGACACAGCGTTGAAGGCAACTCGTCCGCTCGGCTACGAACGTGTGTCGTTCATTGAAGCGGGCACGGGCATGGAAGTTGCTCACGCCGGCATCGACATCGACCTTGAAGATGAGGAGGAGAATCTCAGGGCGCAATTGGCAGCCACGCGGAAGCAGGGCGACAAATTGGCGTCAGCAAACACAAACCAAGAAGCTGAGATTGACACCTTGAAGACGCGTCTCGACGAAGAGCGAGATGAATTCGTGGCAAAGCGCATTGAGCTAGAACGGCAAATCAAGAACATGCAGCAGGAGAACGGCGGGCTTCTTGCGGATCTCGCCGAGGCGAAAGAAGAAATCTCAAAGATGCCGGACCGTCTAGCACTTGAAGAGAGGACGGTGGAGGCAGAGAAGAAGTCTGAGAAGCTGACGGATACCGTCGAAATGCTAAGCAAGCAATTGACAGTTGCTCGCGACGACGAGGCACGCGCCAAGCAGGTTGAACAGGAGTCATTGCAGGCGGTCAAGCAAGCTGAGAAGGTGAAGTCGGACGCTCTCGCATCGGTGGCCGGGGAAATTGAACAGGCTAAAGACAATGCAAATCGCAAGGCTACACAAGATATCGCTGAGGCCAGACAAGATGCTCAGACGGCAATGGAGGCTTCCAACAAGCGAGTGAGTGAGATTGAAAATTCAGCTGCAGTTGCACAAAGGGAGTCAGGCAAGCATCTCGAGGACACGACACGATCGTATGAGCAGCGACTGCAGGAGGAGCAAAAAGCAAAGAGCGTGGAGGTCAAGTCGATTCAGGACAAATACGAGGGGCTGCTTGTAGACATGCAAAAGAAGGCAAGTGCCGAACTAGAGGCGTTCCAGAAGGAAGCAGACAAGCGGATGGAGGCATCCATGAAGGAGGCAAACGCACGGTTGAGCAGCATGACAAAGGAGAGGGACCAGGCCGCCAAGGAGACAGCCAAGGTTGAGTCGCGACTGGAAAAGGACTCGATGAAAGCGGCTAGGGAACGAGACGGGCTCAAGGCTAAGATTGCAAAGCTCGAGGCGAAGTTGAAGGGCGACACTACGGCGCAACCGAAAACGGAGGTCGAAGTGAAGGAAGAAGCAAACGTGGGCAAGTAGGATGTGGCAGTTGCAACAAACTTGCATAGATGCATGCTGCTTATGGGTTGTCTACAGAGGCAACTGCGTGTCCGCGTCCTTGCGTTTTGGGTTAACGCGGCACAGAGCGAACGAAGCTCAGGTCGGACACGACTGTACAGGGTTTAAAATATATTGCCATTAAGTAAAGCTAGAGATTGAGAAGGGGCAATCCTCATCGCGCGCTGTGTACCATCTCGCTATGTACCATCTCGCTATGTACCATCTCGCGCCGCTCACGGTACATAATCGATCTCTCCGTCTCGCACGGCGACGACCTTGCCGCCCTTCTTCTTGACGACCTCCTCGACGTTCTTCTCCTCGCCAAACCAGCCCTACGCCGCCCGCACCACCGCCCGCACATAGCCACGGCACCCGCGTCAGTCCGCGCCTCCCCCGCGCGCCTTCGAGAAAACGCACGCGAGCATGCACGACGTACCAAGTTGTCGGCGATCACGTGGCGCCCGTCGCAGCCCGGGCACGTGACGAGCACGACGCCGCGCGTATACGCGGCCTTGGAGAAGCTCTTCGCGACGCGCGTGTCGCACCGAGTGCACGTGAACGCCATGTGCATGCGCGCCTCCGGCGGCGCGGCCGCCGCGCAGAGGGGGCGCGCGGCCGCGCCGAGGAGCGGCTGGCGCGCGCCGCGCGCCGCGGGGGGGCGCGCCGCGCCCGCGTGCCGCGCAGCGGGTGAGGCGAGAGGCAGCAGGCGCGACAGCAGGAGCGGGAGGCGGCGGCGCGACATGGCTCGCGAGGATGTCGCAGGCTGGCTGGCGGGGATGGGGCTGCGGTGAGGCGGACGGAAGACGGCTTGGAGTTGGGAGTAGCCGTGCGCGGTATCCGATCGCGATGCGGTGTGGAGGTAACAACATCATGATACAGGGGGGGGTCGCTCAATAGTGCCTACTTTAGTAGTGCTTCCCTCTATATAGTGCTATGGCTCAGCCTCTGGCACAGGTTATCATAAGCTCACACGTGTATCATCTGGCATGGTTCAGTACTCAAAGGATGAAGTTATTTAGTTGTGTTTGTGTTTACAGTGTGCTTTGTCCCCAAATATATGTATTTGAGCCTCCTTTATATAGTGCCATCCCCCAATAGTGCCATAGCTAGAGGTATGTCACGCTATAGCACTATATCGTAGGAGGCACTGTATGGGAAATGCGAGACCAACAATTGTATCGCCAATTGTATTCGGAGATGTAGTTGTGGTTGGCAGCAGGCAGCGACACGATTGGCGCACGAGCTTTGCAGGGGCGTCGGATGCAAGACATACAATGGCCACTAGAGTACTCGCCGAGATATTTTGTATAAGACCTGCTGCTCGTCTTCGCTCCCCCATTCGCCTGCGGGCACCCCCTCCATATCTCAGCCCTTCGCCCTTCCACCCCCGAAAAGCCCCCATACTTGTACCTTTCCCCACCCTCGCACCCCCACGCCTTTCGCCGCACCATGGAGCCAGCCTTCCTCGCGCCTTTCCTTCCCGCGCGCGCCTACGCGTCGCGCCGGGCCCTGCGCTGCAGCGCCACGCCGCAGCCGCCGCCGCCGCCGCCGCCGCGCGACCCGCCGGACCCGCCGGACGGGCCTGCGCGCGCGGACGTGGACAAGCGGTACGCGGACAGAGTGCGCGCCAAGCTCTTCTCCGCGCGCAAGGCGGTGAGCGGCGCGCGCGTGTGGTCAGACGACCTGCCGTGCGCGCTCGACGACGACGCGCTGCTGAACGCCGACCTGCCGGACGACCTGGACGAAGTCGAGGACATTCTGTACGACCGCGGGCCCCGCAACGTGCGCCAGGTGCGCCTGTTCGGCGGCTGGCTGGACGACGCCGTCGCCGGCCGCAAGGCGTCCGACCCGGCCGTCGCCCCGACGGAGCAGGCGGGGGAGGACAGCCAGTTTGACGTCGCGTCGCACCACAAGATCTCGCTCACCAAGAAGGAGGCGCTGGCACGCGCGAATGAGGCCTTTGCGACCGCGATGGACGCGTTTAATAAGGGCCAGTACGAGCGGGCCGTCGGGCTGTACGAAGAGGCCGTGCGCCTGGTGGGCGTGCAGAGTCGGCTAGGGGGGCAATACCAGCTGTGGCATGCCCAGTCGCTGGATGCGGCCGGAATGAAGAAGGAGGCCGCAGCTATGTTGGAGAGGCTCAGAACGCATGGCGATGCGGATGTCAGGAAGGTGTCGAAGGAGCTTTTTTTTATTATCACTGCTCCGAAGCTTGAGTTTGAGCCGGGCTCATTTCTGGACATTCCGCCTTTGGAGGACGACAACTTTTCCAACTTTCAGCCAGTACTTACCAGTAACTACGGACCATTGCGGACGGCGTTGGTGAATAAGCCCCCGGAACGCTACTCGTTGGAGTGGTATCTGGAAAAGGAGAGACCACCCAAGGTTGTCGACCACTCTAAGATGGATCTGCTGTTGGTGGCTGCTGCTATCGGAGTTACGCTGGCGTACATGATGACGACGTCGCCATCGTGACATCACCAGCTCGGAGATGAGAGGCATGATCGAAAGTAGTGGACACGCTCGTTGCAGCCAGATGACAGCAACGTCGGATACCTTTTTAGAGGCCTACTTGCGCTTGTCCCCCTAAAGCAGTCGCACGCCGGGCACTGTGCGCTGCTCTGTACTATAGCATAAGGGATATGTTAATGATGGAATAGACAATCCACGTAAGCTCAATTGTAAAACCTGAGCTCATAAGTTTGCATTCGTTCGCGTCACCGAGTTTTTTTTATTTTCAGACAGCCCCTGCCTGCAGCGCCATGCAGCACGGTCCCTTGTACAAGCGTCCGTGAGGATCAAATCTGCCGTACGCAACTGCAGTCCGAAGTTGAAATTATCACGCGATCTAGGCTGTCAAAATGCACGCGCCGCCAGCAGCCTTAATCTTCTTCTCGGCACCCTTGGAGAAGAACTTGGCCTTGACAATAAGGGGCTGCTTGGGAAGAGTTCCCTTTCCGAGAACCTTAAAGTAGCCCCGATCGGTGATGTCAAGCACTGGTGCGACATCGGTCTTGTCCTTGTTCTCGATCCGGATATTATCCGGAACGAGAGTCCAGAGCTTGTCGAGGTTGATGGTCGGGCAATAGTACTTTTGGGTTGTCTTGTGGAAATACCTCATACCGACCTTACCGAAGTAACCAGGATGGAACTTGTCAAAGTTTGCTCGATGATGATGCTGACCACCGGCGTTACCCCGCCCACCAGCTGAAGAGAGTTAAAAAGAGAGCCGTAATGATGATGGAAAGAATAGTTAGAACGTGTGTTCTCCTAGAAGAGTGGATAAGAATAAGAGTGCGGCGAGAGGCAAACGGGCGAAGACAACGTACGATGCTTGCGATGTTTTCCCTGTTATCGATTAAACGAAGAAAGGTAGCATCACGGGTTTCGCGCGAGTTCCGCAATGGCATCGCAAGAAAGGATATGATACACAAGGACGGTTAGGGCCTGCGCGTGGATCAATTTTCAGGAGGACTCAAGGGCGGAAAGACGCGCACGAGGGAGTCTCACAATCCGTTGGATCGATCCCGTCGGCAGCCCCAGACACGGACATGCGTGCAAGCGTGCACGCCGGCAAGAAGCGAAGCGGGGCAAGCTACAAACAAGTACAACTTACGATACGGCCGTGGCCCGCGGAAACATGGCCACGCTTCTTTCTGTTCTTATGCAAACGGGTCGGCTACGCATTACGGCATGAATCAAATCGCACATTGTCGCGACGGGGATTCGTCGATGATTCGTACAGGCACGAAAACAAGACGGCGGGATGCAAAATTCATGTACTTCATGTTAGCAGTGGGCGAGTCGTTGCGGCGATGGCGCGATCATCGAAAAGTGCTTGGCGCGGGTTCCTGCCAGAATGCATACGTACCATTGCGTAGGAGTGGAAGGGGTTGGTGGGGCGGGAGATGTAGAGGAGGACGGGTGACACAGATGCGGTGGGATGAACAGGGTGGGGTTGCGGAGTTTTTTGGGGAAGATGGTGGTCGCCGGCGGGAGGCGAGAAAACAGAATCAACCCTAATTGGGTAATTACGGCAGCAATTACTAATTAAAATTACTAAAAAGATCAATTTTTGACATACCTGTAGAGAGAAAAAGTACAGTAAAATTGGCATGATGTCAACATCAACCAATGCTGACATCAACAGGCGGAAAGCATATTTCACTGTAATGCCATTACAGCAAATGGGTCGGTATGACAAGCATATGATCTGGTCGAATAGGAGGCGACGTGATTCTGTAGCGCTCACACAAAGGACGACGGCCGGCCATCTTAGAACACTCAATTTCTTACCTGTACGTTGCCCCGGATCAACTCTCTCGCACGCCACCGCCGCCACGCCGCCACAGGCAATTCCACCAGCGCCTCCTTTTTGGCCTCCCTGCCACGCTCTCCAGCCCACCCCGCAGCCCACCCCGCAGCCCACCCCCGAGCCCACCCCACACCACACCACATCACATTTCGACGCGTGCAGAGAGAGGCGTTGAGTGCGGACTAGTCTTCCATTACTGCAGCATTGCCGTCAATGGTGGCAATAGTGGCTGAGTAAAGCCCCAAAAATGTATGGAACGCGGACGAATTTGGCCTTTTCTGTCGTCAACCGCCGGGATAATCTTGTCGTAGAAGCCTGCCGCTGGTTTCAAAAAATACAAGACTGGAATATCATTTCTGTTATTCGGTAACGCGTACGGAACGGAACGAC